GAACTTCATATATACATTGTACCCAAATAATAATAATAATAATAATAATAATAATAGTAATATTTAAAAAGGGAGCCCAACTCGCCATAGCGGTTTTCAGCAGAGCCCTAATTGACTAATTATTTAAATTCATTTAACTAATTACTCTAAATCTCACTAATACCTACATTTTATTAAGATTTCTTGCGTCTTTTAACTTTAATTGTAATATAAGGTATTTATGTTATTGTGATATCATTTAAATCTGAATACTGCAATGTAAGGTCAGAATTGTAAGATATGTGTGTTGCAGGCACTTTGCATCACTGATCCACACCCTGGTTCGATTTTGTTAATTAATGCCAAACAGGTATATTATTTCCTTATACTTATGATGTTGTCATCCCTAAATTATTTTGTTACACCATATTTTATTACAGTAAAAGTTGCAGCTAAGGTGCATCTAATGACTATTAAGTTTCTTTGGTCATTTCCGGAGTACATGACTAATACAGGCTGCCACTGCTTCAATCTGATGCAAGTTTTGGTATTTTGTCAGCCGATGTGAATCTTGGAAATTTCTTTTAAAATCCAAATGAATTTTCATGTTTACAAACAATTGCCTTTAATTATAACACTTAACCTTACAGCACCTTGAAATATTTTATTTGCGGCTGTCATTTTCTTTCATATTTGATGAATATTTGTTCCTCTGCTTCCCTTTTTAGACTTTTTGGCATCATCCATGATTCAAGAGTCCTTTTCTTGAACCCTAAAGGAAACTGTATACATGCAAGGTAGAAGGACTTAAACTTCTTTTTTGTCTCTTTTTTTAAACTCCCCTTTATTGTGTCAACTTTTATGATTTATTTGTTGGGAATAATTTGTCCTGTTTCCGATGTACATGACCAATATAGTTGGCAGTTGAGCCACATCTATCTGGTGTCTGTGTTGGGTGGTCATTGAGTCACCACTGAAGACATTAACTAAGTCATAGTAAGATCCCATCTTTAAACAGAAAGATGAGAAAGAACATGATATATTTGTACCACTAAATGGATTAAGAATACTGGGTTTGGTTATGCTTGTCTTTTGAAATTGATACATCCAAGCGGTCCATCATAGGTGTTGCTAAGTTGATCCTTAAATTAGTCTTTGAGGGTACCTTCTTGCAATTACTTGTTACTATGGTTATTTGTGCAAATATTGGTAACCAGAGGTATTGTTGTCTAGCATGATGGTATTGGTACAGTTTTGCTGTTGGTCTGTTCATGGAGCTGCAGGTGCTGGTGGTCAACCTGTAAAATTTGTAACGGTGCAGTACTGGTACTGACAAATCTCCAACCAAATTATGCTATTGTGATCCTCATTATACATGTATAGTTGTTGCTCTTGTGAGAGTAGTGGTGTATGTTATACTTTGGAAACTATGCAGTCAATGACTAAATGTTTTCTGTCATCATTGTTGGGGCGTGGCTAATATCAGCTTCATGTGACTTTATATCGGTTCTTGTATGTAAGTGCTAGTGATGTTAAATGTAGGAAACAGGCTTGTAGGAATCAAAACGTAGTCGTCGTAAATTTCTACTGAACATATTTCCCGCTCTACTTTTATGTATCAACCCAAGTAAAAACATGATCCCGCCAATCCCACCTGAGATTCCAGGTTTCTCCCGGCCGGGATCCCGCCTATTTTGGGTGGGATCCTAGGTGCAATCATGGGTGGGATCCACGGTGGGATCCCAGGTGGGATCTTGGTTGGGATACTCGGTGGGATCCTGGGTTTCTCCATGCTGGGATTATGGAATGTCCCTGGTGAGATCCTAGGTGTGATCCCAGATGCCATCCAAAGTGGGATCTCACCTGGGATCTTAGGTTTCTCCTGGCAGGGATGATGGAACGTCCCGAGTGGAATCCCAGGTGAGATCCTGGGTTTCTTCTGTCTAGGATCACACCTGAGACTACGGAACCCCCCTGGTGGGATCCCAGGTGGGATCCTGTCAATCCTATGCAGGATCCTGAGTCTCTCCCGGCCAGGATCCTACCTAATTAGGGTCGGATCCCCGCTGGGATCCTGCTCAGGATAATGAACCTCCCAGATGGGATCCCAGTTGGGATTCTTTCAATGTCATGCGGGATCCCGCGCAAGGTCCCACCGTTGTCTATGGAACCTTCAGGTGGGACCTTGTCAGTAGCATCTGCGACCCTTTGAATTTTTGAGTGAGATCCTTCCTATTTTAGTGGATATTCACTCTACAGTCTACTGGTGGGATCCCAAGTGGGAATTTTAAACACCCTTCTCAAAATCCTGGTTAACATCCCCCATAGGACTCTTCTGAGAGCTTCAGTGGTCTCTACCTTTGATAAACTGCACTTCACTTGATATGATGTTTTTTAAACATTTTGTAAGAATACAGCATACGATATAAGTATAGAAATCTCTTATACCACAAAACCTTAAAATAGGTTGCACTCCTACATGTATAGGCTTTTAGTTTAGCTGTTCAGAAAATTTTGAAATTGTCTGAACAGCTAAATTAAAAAGCTATACATGCAGGAGTGCACGATAGATTCAAATGTGCATTTTTAAACTATCGTGAAGCACACAAAGGAATTTCATTGGCTAAAATGCACATTTGGTGTATATGATCACATTTCCAACTGTATCCTAATTTGAAATTGATTTTCAACAGCTAGAAGTTTTAAGAGAAGCACACATTGAGTTTTACCAACCAAATGCTTCTAAGTTTGAATACAATTGCTTTATATGCAATGATGATCATCATTAGAATGACACGAATGCCTCCATTTATTCCATAATATCTTCCATAACCACTA